TATTATGGCAAACATACAACTTCTAAAAATAAAAGTTTATGTCATTGAGTTTCATTCATAATATATTTTTATAATTGTAGGCACAACATTGATTGCAATACTTTTCATTTTTTCGCCTTTTTTCGTTACTTTTGCGAAGTTACTTACTCATCAAGAATTTTATTACAAATTTTTTCTTCGGGCTATTTATTCTAATACAATGCCATTTGTTTTCATCTCATTAGGAGATTTTTCTTTAAAATTAGCTAATTAATTTTGATGAAATCATAAAAATTCCTTCAAATTACATAAATAATTCTTATAATAATAATAATTTACAGTTAATTAGTTAGTCATAATCTTTTGAAATATATATATTTAAAATGTAATATGCTCATCATATAACTTATAACTTGAAATATTACATACATGGATATAATGATAATATTTTATATGCATTTGTGCATATGCAATTGATCTACTACTAGTATGACATAATTAGAAACCTAATTATTGGCTTATATTAGTAATATTATGAATCTATATATCTATATAATTGCTAGTAATGCATTAAATTTTACCTAATAAATTTTACCTACATGGCACCTAACTTTCCAAAAACTAATTTTGTTAATTAAGACAGAAACCGTTACGTTTTATATTAATTGAGTAATAATTATATTTTTTTATTGTATCATATAATAGTTATTATTATAATTAATATATGTTTTTTAAATAAATTAATTTATTTTAATGTCATAGTAAAATCTCATAAGCAATTGTTATGATAAATTTAATATTTTTCAGCAAATTAATTCGTCATGATCTCTCAAAATTACAAATATTACATTAGTTATTACATTTTGTGCAATCAATATTGTGATTCATATGCAATCAAATAGTTATATACTATTTATTTTAATCAATTATCAAATTTTAAAATATAATACCATTATCTAACGTATAATTTTAATATTATATGTATAAATATAACTTATAATTCTCTATATTTAATATTTAATATCATTATCAATCTTATATATATATATATATGCATATAAATAACTTATAATACTTTATTTATATATGTTCAAATGTATAAGGTTGAATACTAGTTGAGATAACAAGGACAGTTTCTCATCATATGAACAAATTCATTACAATATCAAAGTCAATTAACAATAATTGCATTTAATGCCTAGTCTTATATTATGCCATTATCATCTAATACAATTATTAGTACTTAAATTAGTTCATGTCACTAGGTTGTAGTCACAATAATTATCAGACTATATAAAGTTGTCTAATAAATACTATAAACATATTTAGAGATATAATTGTTGGCGTGTTATAAGGCATGGGATAAGGCTAGGTGAAATTTCTCTAGCCTGTCAATTTAAAAAATAATCACTTGAAAATGGACTTAGAATTTACTAAACCTTTGGCATGGAAAGTGATATTTTGTAGACTTTGTAGTTATCTCTCTTGGCTAAGAATATCAACCAGATACACATTAGGGGAGAAATTTAAATTAATTAATAATTAATTGGTAGAATATTGAACTTTTTAGCAGTTGGATAAGGAATCAAATTATACTAGTCAGAGTTGAGAATATTACACCATATTTTTATAACTGTGTAGACGTATGTATTTTATTTATATTATATGTAATCTCGTGATAGCTAATTTGAGTGAAATTTATATTTTTGAGCTTCTAAAAAAGTTTGGACTCGGCTCGTTTATGTTGAAAATTAACGAGCCTAGCAGAGTAGAGTTCACCGCTCGTTTCGTTTAACAATTATAAATGTTGTATACAAGTCTGAGTATTTCAGTGAATCATTAATTTTACGATAGTTTTATTTGAGAAATATGGCAATCGATATAGATATAGATTAACAAGTCTGAGTATTTCAGTGAATCATTCATTATAAATGTTTTTTTTTTCTTCTTTCCATATGAAGAATTTGGGAAATTTTTTTGTTCACATTATTTTTCCAACCACCTGTTGAATATTAAAAAGTTGAAGATTCTAAGTTTTATAAAATTTTGATCAAAATTATTCAGATGATGAATGATACAAAATATAATCCAATGCACATACCATTCACTGTACAAAACCAAATAGATGAGCTTTTTAAATTTCAATTGACTAGAAAATTAGTTTTGTTGAGTTGTATCAATGAACTTAGCTATGTTTGTCAATTTAGAAAAAAAAGCATCATTTTGAAAATATAAAAATAATTCATTTTATTGTTGTAGGCCAGCACACAGCATTCCAGCCCGCATTATACTAAGACCACCAACAATCCATTGGAAACCCCTTGTTTTATGATTTAATTATTGTGATTATAATTCAATAGCCCAGTTTTATATATCATATATATATATATATTATATATAGTTATTGAAAAAAGGAGGATGTTGTGAACTTATATTATGACTTTTTGTTAACGTATTGCAGGGTATTTGCATCCTGTTTGTAATTAATTATGCTAAGCAAGATACAAAAATGTTATGGTGTTTTCACAAATATGCACCATCCTTGAGTGAACTTAACATGATTTTTCGTTAAAATTACAAAATATGTGCAGTAATTTAATTCAAATGGCAGATTTTTATTGAAATAACTATTGGGTAATCAAACCGCACATAAAGTCCAAATACATAAATTAGTTGACTTTTTTGCATTTTTATTGAAATAACTATTGGGTAATTTTTACAATTTTGAACACAATGTGCTCGAATTTTTATTGCCTAATGGACGTTTTCTGTAATTGTAACATTTACCAGACGTATTTGTCTTATCTTTTATTTATACTTTGGTGGAATATTCGCATGAATTCAACAACCAATAGATGAAAATTAAAGGAAGAAAAATTCCTTCTATGACACAAATTTGTGTTTGAAG